CATGCTCACATTCATGATGCACATGTGTGCACTACACGAAAAACTGAAAAAATGGGTGTATTATAGGAGGTCGTTTAAATACATATTTAAAAGTGGTTAAATTCACTAGTTTTTAACTTAAGCGTCTGATTACTTCTTTATGAACTTATAAGAGCTTCCAGACCTCAATGCCAAGCCTGTTAACCCTCAATATTGATTTTGGTCAACTCTTTTATTTTCAAATTTCCTAGTTTTTGGTTATTCTTCTATGAAAGGCACCTCAGTTCCTATGGACCTTGTACGTTGTCAACCCTCCGTGTAGAGGCCAGACCTCATGTAGAGGAAAGAGATCCAAATACTCAAAACAACTAGATGGGTCGTTAAAAGTGAACTTTTAGTAAAAATATATTTGTCCCTTTATGTTACTAAAACAAGAACTACTTTTATGACTAAGTTTTTGTACAAGCAAGCGAGTGCTTAGTTCACCGTAGTTTTTATCAGTTACAAACTTGAAGAAATGAAATACTAATAGACATGTAGTTAGTGATATATGTTGCCTTATGTGACTTGTGTGTTACTTGGCTTAGTTTTCTAAAATGTATATGTTAACATCGCTCACTAATTGTTACGTGCAATTACAGTCAATATTTAGTTAGTGTTTGATTATAAATTTTCAAATATTCTTCACAAAAAATATTTGGGTGAAATTTCACCATGTGTTTGGTCATAGTATTTAGGAAATATACTTAACTTTTTTAGAAAAATATAATTTATACCCATAAGTTTTAAAAACTATCACAAACTAATTATAAGTTTGTATTACAAGTCAATTGAATGTTCGTTGCAACAAATAACAAGTAGTGTCCATGACACTAGAGCAATGTGGTAGCTTAGAATGAGTGCAACAAGCATCATTCCATACATTGTGAAGTAGACAAAACAAATGACTTTGTTATCCTGAATCGATGGTTCATCATTTTCATCAACGACCATATCATCACTTTCATATTCACTGAATATTTCATCACTACTTTGGTGTTCACGTAAAAAGATTGTGTAATACAACACAAACAACTACTATAGAGAGTGTTTTTGTAAAAGAGAAAAGTTTGGTATAAAATTTTAATTTTTAAAAGATCCCAATAATGAGATTTGAACCAAATACTAAAAAAAAAAAAAACTAGTATTGGGAATTTGGGATTTTTGTCAAAAATATTTGTCAAATAATGAACTTATGTTTATTTTCAAAATTTATATGATTTTCATGTTTATTTTTGAAATGTACTTCCATGCTTATACTACCTTTATCACAGAAAGCCTTGCTCTGCCTGTAGTACAGCTTATCCCCCTATCTTCCTGTGGGATACCATATTGATTTGGTGAATTTTTACTCGTTCAATATTGATTTGGTAAGTTTTTACTCGTTTGATGAAAGTCTCTGCTTATGTTAACTAATGTGACATATTTTGGGTGCAAAATACTTGTTAAGGATAGATGCAGAACAAAAACAGTTTGTTCCTAGTGAGGCTAATACCTATGTATAAATCCTTTAGAAAGCTAGCCAGTGTGCAACTATTTAAAGAGCTTTAGTTATTCAAATGCAGTTACAAATCGAAACAGGAGTTGGTTCATTGCAGGTTGTGACAATAAAATTGCAGAATAACGCTGGTACATTTGTCAAATTAGACTCTCACAAGATCCATAGTGATTTCATGCCACACGTTACCATCTTTATACCTCCTTATTGTGTCCTTTAAAACCACGGACTTAAGAACTCAAGATGTTGTTCCATATAAAACACGAAAATGCATGAAGCCGGAGCAGTCTCAAGGTGAAATGAATCGTCATAGTATTGAAAGAAAAAGTAAGGTGAAAAGTTGAACAGTAGTATCCTCAAACCCTTTCTCAGCTACTAGTGAATGAATCAGGTTGTATTTCAGTCAAATGACACTCATCAAACTATATGTAGTTAATGAACCAGAGGAGATTATTCAATCCTATAAAAATCAAATAGGAAGGAAACATAAGACGGTATGTAAAAGAGTAAACATTCAATGGTTAACTCTGTTGCAGGCCAAACTCAAAGGAATTGGAGGATCTGAGAACGAGCCGTTAACAATCTGATCAAATATCCACTTATTAGCTGCTTCTGTGAAGTGAGTTCCATCCCAATTAACCCTAACTGATGGATCCTTGCATGAAGAAGCAATCACTATCTCTTTTCCGTTCACCACTTTCTTGCTTCCACATTTTATGAATCTGTTGTAATTGTACTTCCCACCATGACCACAACAAGCTAGGAATGGGTTCTCAAATCCTGTCATTTTATATAGAACTTTTAAATATTCATTTCTAGTTACTCCCTCCATCTCAATTCGTTATTCGTTTGTCTGGTTTTGACTTGACACGGGGAGTTTAAAAAAGTAAAGAAGACTTAATCTTGTGGTCTTGACATAAAGATACATAAAATGTAACAAAATGTCCTTTAATGTTGTGCTCTTAAACATTGTCACATAACTTTGTGAAAATTTTGATCCAAGAATAACTAGTACTACAGTCTGCAAGTTTTTTACTTACATAAGACTTCAAAATCTAGAAGTTAATACCATGAAAAAGATCAAAATGAATTCAAGTTCAAGATAAAAATGTTAAATGATAAGATTACCTAGCTTCTTTGCATGACCGATGAGCGAGTATTTAACCGAGTAGACATCTACATAAGTGAATGCAGCTAAAGGAAGTTCTTTCCTGAGCTGAACAACAGTTTTTTTCAACAGAAGGTTGAAGTACTTTGACACTTCATTGAAGGGATTAGCACAACCATACTTATCGACTTGTGCTGCTGTGATCATAAAGCGGTCAATAACATATGGTAGACAACCTACTGGTCCAGTATTGTGAATCCAAAATGATCTACCGCCTTTTGCATATACTTTCTGCATTTATAGAAAATGAACAAAACTCTTAGAGAATATAAGTAGATAACTAATATAGATTGGTTTACTTTTACTGACCTTTATAACATTGGATAACTGAGAGAGCAAATCAGGAACATAAGCCTTCACTTGATCAGTGGACATATTAAGCTTGTAGCCAGCAGTGAGATCATTCTGTCCGATATCAAACGTGTACAATGCTTGAGAAAAATCTTCCTTATTTGGCAGCAATTGGCCAAAGACATTTCCTGTGTTAGAAATAACAAAACCTCTAGCCTGTCTCAGAAATAAAATCATACTATTTTCATCTGCAGTTTACGCAATAAAGCTAGTACCTTTCTGGCGAATTATTTGTGATCTTGTATGAAAATCAGAGAACTGAACACCTTGTACATCCAGTGAAATTGGACTGTATCCACTCTGAGCCATGGTTGTGTTTTGAGGTCTAATGGTTGATCCTGCTGTGGCAAAATTAGCTCCATGGCTGAAGTTGGAACCAATCGAATCAAGAAACGCGCTAAGATAAGGCAAATCTAAGCCTTCAGCTGGTAATTCAAAAATCAGGTACACAAAAAAAAGCATCAGAAGCTGATCAAACAAATAAAAACAAGAAAAAAGAAAAATGTGAATTACATGGGGATTTTACTAGAGATGAGTATAAAAATTCTCATGTAATTCACAATTTTCTTATAATGTCTATCTCAAGGTTGTGTTAGGTATAACAAAAAATCTTTCCTAGTAACCAAAAACCTTAGTATATTATTCGAGGAAAACAAAAGAAGAAAAAATGCAGGAGTTGGGGTTTTAACCTGTGCGCTCTAGCAAAATTAACTACAGAGTCATGTTATTTCACGAACACATGTATTTATTAAATTTAATGCTACAAACTATGTAACAATCGATTAGTAATAAAATGATTTACCAATGAAATCGATAAGGAGACGACCATCGGAGAATCGACCAGCAGGGGCATGAAAGAAAGTTTCACCATTGGGATAAGGAGCTTGTCCAAATGCTGCTGAAAGGCCACCAGTATCTGAGTTTGAGTCACCAAAGTTGAAAATGGCTGCAAATTTGCAATTGCCTAAGATTTGGGTTGGAACTAAACACAAAATTAGAATCAAGATTTGTGTTACCATTTTGCTTCAAAAATATTCTGTTACATTAGATACCAAACATATAAAAGGGTTTTTTTCTTTATTATTTTGGCTTTCCATTTTTCAAGATTGAGACTAATTTGTAGTCTTTTTTTAATTATTGCTTGAAAGACTATCTGATTCTACTAAATTTAAGGAAATCATGACATGATTATTTTTTAAAAAATTGACAAAATTTATGTACATGGGATTCGACCTGTACTAACCCAGTTACCTAATATTTAAATTGACCATTCACCATAGGGTCCTCAAATTATGCGGTCAATTTTTTTCTGTAATTTACTAACATATCTTAATGAGAGATAAAAATATTTTATTCGTAAATCGTTTTATTCTCATGATAACATTAGTTTGTGAAACAAGACTTATCTATACCAACGAGAGTTTGTAGAAAAAAATAAATTGAAAAAAAAAGGCAAATGAAATGATATTGAATGTCAACACAACTTTACTTCCGTCGTTCAATAAATCATTTTTCAGCCACTCAATTTTATAGTTTGAAAATGAAAATAACAACAAAAAATCAAGAGACTAAAAGCAACCAAGCAAGTCGTTCGTTTGTGGTCCTTTTTTTTGCAATATTTTTTTTAATAGAAGATCCTCTTTTGACTTGGAGATCTTTTAGATCATAGTCTAAAAAATATATATTTAAATCACAATTTAAAATTTTCGGTAAGTTTATTGAATTTTGATAATTTATCTACTAAATTCATTGTTATTAATAAAATTACTCAATTCAGACTTTTATCTGGATAAAATAAATTGTTTTTATATTCCATATAAACATGGACACTATAACTAAACAATTTTTTTTAAAAAAAACAACAACAACATGGAGTCTACCGTTGAGAGTAATTTATCAAGAATTATATTTGCACAATTTTTAAAAAATAGAAACAAAATCTATCTAATGATATAAAAATGTACATTTGCATAAATTCGAAATCGGTTTATTAGAATCAAAGCTAAGATTCTTACTTGAAATTGAAATATTATTTAGTTACTAGATCTAATCTAATAATACACCAACAAAATATCTCAATATCCATTTGATCCATAAAGCTAAAAAAGTGGTTAACTAATTAGTACAATCTTAATTGAATAACTAATCTTATTTTTGATGACATGCCATATTCAAGGGAAGTGGTGGATCTGAATATAAACCATTCACAATTTGTTGAAACACCCATTTATTAGCAGCCTCTGTGAAATGTACACCATCCCAATTTATTCTTTTTGATGGACTTTTGCATGATTTTCCCAATATTATTTCTTTTCCTTTCACCTTTATCTTGCTTCCACATCCATGATTTATGTTGTAGTTGTACTTTCCTCCATGCCCACAACAAGCTTGTAATGGATGCTCAAATCCTAGAACCAATCAGGGGTAAGTTACGAGTTCAACAGAATTTAATAGTTCAAATGGCTTTACATACCGTGCTTGTTAGCGTGATAGATGAGTTCATACTTGACTGAATAGACATCAACATAGGTAAGAGCAGCTAATGGAAGATCTTTTCTTAGCTCAATCACTGCTTCTTTCAACTTAGCATTGAAATATTGAGCCACTTCATTGAAAGGAGCAGCACAACCTGCTTTATCAACTTGCCCTGCTGTTATTAACAGACGATCCAATACGTATGGTAGACAACCAACTGGACCTGTGTTATGTATCCAAAAATATCTACCACCGCGACTATATATACCCTGCAATTTGACCAATGAAAAATTGTCATCATCACTCTGGTGCTTGAACAATTTTAATTTGAAAGCTCAAAAATGAATACACTGTTCTGATATCAGGTAAAATTAAATTTTGGACCTAAGCTCAAACAGAGGAGGATTGTTTAAGCCGAAAACATTCATCTCATTATACAGTTAAATTATGAGGTAAATCAACGTACCTGAATAACGGTTTTGAATTGATCGATCACATCAGGAACATAAGCTCTAACTTGATCAGTGGACATGTTACTGAAGTAACCAGCAGTTAAATCATTTTGTCCAATGTCAAATGTGTATAACCCCTCAGAAAAATGTTTCTCCTTAGGCATCAACTTACAAAACACATCCCCTGTACACATTATTGAAAAATAAATAAATTAAGAAACAAGAATATTTAGACTACAGAACAAAGTATGAACGTATGGATTTTTATTACCTTTGTTACGAATAATCTGAGATCTATGAAGGAAATCGTTGAATTCGTAACTCTGAACGTTTAATGAAATGGGGCTAAAACCACTTTGATGAAGAGTTGTGTTTTGTGGTCTGATTGTTGAACCAGCTGTGGCAAAATTGGCTCCATGACTGAAATTTGAACCCAATGCATCTAAGAATGCACTTAGGTATGGTAATCCTAAATTTTCAGCTGAAAAAATCCACATCAAATATTTTATCAATTAAACATGAAAATATTTTTAAAATCTTCATATATACCAAATACATCCGGTAGCATAACTAGTTATATTATAATAAAAATAATTTTTTAGTAATAATAAAAATATATATAATATTAATAAAGAGTGTTAATTTTTAGCATCCGTGGATTTTTTATTCAGCCTATGAAATAAACCTACCTAATACAAACAAAAATATGTCACATTTTCTCTTCCCCACCGTTAGTCTGACTACAATTTTAATGGTTCGCCTTGCGTTTGAGATTTAAAAATTAAAGAAGTATTATTATTATTATTTATTGGGATAATGTTCAAGTATCCCCTCAACGTATGCCCGAAATCTCAAAGACACACTTATACTATACTAAGGTTCTATTACCCTCTGAATTTATTTTATTAATAATTTTTTACCCCTTTTTAGCTTACGTGGCACTATCTTGTGGGCCCAACGATGGTTGACTTTTTTTTTCGAACTAGTGTCACGTAGGCTAAAAAAGGGTAGAAAATTACATATAAAATAAGTTCAGGGGGTAATGGGACCTTAATATCGTATAAGTGTGTCTCTGAGATTCCGAGCATAGGTTGAGGTTGGATTTATATGATATAGTTAAAACATGGAGATTTAAATTTGAAACTAATAGTATGAACTTTGATATAATATTTTTCTATTTTTAACTAATTTTTTTTATAATAATCTAAAAATTAAGTACAAAATATTAAATAAAACGAAAATTAAAACGAAAAAACTTAATTCGTAAAACGTGAACAGCAATACAAAGATGATTTCACTATTTTTTTAGTTTGGATTTATATGATATAGTTAAAACATGGAGATTTAAATTTGAAACTAATAGTATGAACTTTGATATAATATTTTTCTATTTTTAACTAATTTTTTTTATAATAATCTAAAAATTAAGTACAAAATATTAAATAAAAACTTAAGATATTTTAATAATCATATAAAAAATTGGTAAAGACCATCTAGTTGATTTTCGAAATTCCAAGCATAACATAAAATAGTAAGACGAATTTCATAGTAAAATAGTTTTAAAGTAAAAAACTTTAATTTGTTGATATTAGTCCTGAAAAATAACAATTTCAGTAAAATCTGATAAAAAGTGTAACGTACTATCTTTTTAAATTAGAAAGACTATTTTTAAAAGACATTCAAACAAATCAAAAAGATAAATGACATTATAATAATTACCAATGAAATCAACAACAAGACGACCGTCACAGTACCGTCCGGCAGGGGCACCAAAATATGTCTCTCCGGCGGGTGGACCAGCCTGACCAAATGCCGCCGACAATCCACCGGTGTCGGAGTTTGAGTCGCCGAAGTTGAAAACCGCCGGAAAATGACACGGTGAGTTGGTCTTAGCATCACTTGAAAATGGAAATACAATTAGCAACACTAGAAGAAACACATTTTTTGAGTAATTATTAGTAAGCTCCATAAGACAAATTGTATTTATTATTTTTTTATATAAAACAAAGAAGAAAAAGAAAGAAGTTGAAGTTGTTAAATGGATATGATGAGATTGTAATTATTAATAGTATATGAAGGGGAAAAAATGCCCAAAAAAAAAATGACGTGGGTCGAGTACTATGGTTTAATTTTATGTAAAAAAAAATAAAATTACTTTCATAAAAAGTAAATTAATTAAGACAAGTGAAAATTGTTAGTAATAAAAGGTAATAAATATATAAATGGACCTAAATACTATTGTTATTATTTTGTTGCTCATAGAAGGCAAAAATTATCAAATAAAATTAGTTTGATATATGCAAATTCATCTAAATATTATCTCAGTCCATTATTATTTATTTATTATTAAATTAAAATATCTATTAAGAAAATAAATATTGACATAATGAGTTTATTAATTTGAAAAATTACATAAATATATCATGATAAAAAAATATTTATCATTTATAGAAGTAACATTTTTGTTTTACTTGATTACTTTTAATTTATTTATAATACAAGTTTGATACATATTACAAAGAACAATTTATTATTCACATATAATACAAGTTTTAATGATGGATTATACATTTATCACACATTTTAATACACTTTTAATACAATATGACAATTTTTTACCAAACAAATATAATATATTTCAAAAATAATTATAATTCAAATATATTGCATACATAATTTACTTTTAATACATATTATATATTTATCACAGTATTACTATAAATGATAATAAACAAAAAGTATCGCTAAAATCAGTAATTATTTTTTAAAATATATTAATTCATGTAATTTTTTCTATTATTTTTATTCTTAATTATTAATTATGAAATGAATGAATTAAGAATTTAACATTTTCAGAATGTCCTAGTTATTTATTTAAAATAATTAATTAAGGATATTAAACGTAAAGACAAATAATTCGAGCTGGAAATATCAAAATTATAAAAAGAACACATAGAAAATAACGATAAATAGATAAATATGATGAGGTTATTATGGAAAAGAACTATTGTTGGGGTCCAAGTTCACGAGGTTTGAGATTATTATGAAAGGACAAATTTGGTCAGGTTAGAATTTAGTGTATGTTTTTTTTTAAAAAAAAAGAGTTATTTTTTATATAAAAAATAGCTAACATTAGTTTTTAATTAACAATTCTTAACTATATCTTCAATATATTTATAATTTGCAGTTACATATTTAGTTTGCTATTTGTTATATCCAATTATATATATATAAAAAAAATTATGATTTTCTACGAAAAAAAATTACAAATGTATTAAATTAAGTAGAAGATGTATTAATTCAAATAAATTACTCTTTAATAATATTCTTATTTCAAATTGGACTCTAGAATATATATGTTTCATTGATACTCTGATGAATTTAAAATCAAGGATAAAATCTGTCAAATTCTTTTATTCATTTTGAGTTATCTTTGTATTCATTATGAATCACTTTTATTCAAATGTTACCAAATTTCTTATATCTTCATTTTTATACTAACATAATTTTTCTTATATTCAATTGTATGTATTCAATTTTCTTATTATATTCTTATATGGTCATTTGTAGGCAAAAAAATTGCTAAATGTTCTTATATTTAGTTTGTTTCATTGAGTCAATCAATTGTTTTCACTTTTTGTGGTAAAAAATTATCAAAGTCTTTCTATATATCTAATGCATTAAAATATCTTGATGTATTTGTTTGCGTGTGAAATTAATTATTTTCATTTGAGTCAAACGTGTTGTTGTATTCATTTTTGTTGATGAAAATTATAAAAAAGAAAATCTATATCGAAACGCAAAATGCATATAAATATAATTATTTAACAGCTGAATCCAAATACAAGCAAAAACATAAAAATTCTAACTCTTGAAAAGTAATACATACGTGGAATGTAGTTAGTCCTTATCATTCAATTCAAAAACATATGAAATTATGAATACAAATATATATCGTACTTATCTTTCAACACAAATACATAAGTATACAAAATTTGATGCAAATATAAATATATAAATACAAATGTATAACAAACAATTCAATGCATTGATACACTTGAATATATATATTTTCTTATAAATGTATCAGTTGAATAGTTGCATAGATCATAACAATTGAATATGTTAATACAAAAGTATACCAACAAAAAAGAATACAATTGATTGATTATATTTCAACTGGTCTATTCTCAATATGCTCAATCCCTTAGTACTTGTTTAAAAATTCCAATCCAGTATCGATCTTTGATATACAGTAATTAGTAATCGATTCTAAATTTAATTCGTATACACATTTAATGAATATTTTTAATACCTATGTATAATATTTTACGAAATACGTAAATTATAAATACTACTTGCGTAAGATGTGATTGGATGATTATTAAGCTTATTGGTAGTATTTGGTATCTCTCTATTTTTAGAAATGTAAACCTAACAAATCAAAGACTTTTGTTGGCAACTTGCAGTACTTGCTTCAGCCTTTATAGAAACTTTTTGTTACACATTCCATTTGAGCACAAAAAGACATCCTTTTTATCGACTCGATATTCGTAGTAAACTCTGATTATTTTAAATATGCATCACACAGAGTCTTATTGGGGAGGAAGCATTTTCTATTAATTTTTTTTTATTGATTAAGAAAGGAATAATTTCATCTATTGCACTCAATCCTTGGTAATAATTTTTCGCTATTATTGATAAAGATGACTAGTTATCTGGAGGTGGATTCCGAATTTTAATATTATAAATTTAAATTTTATACTTGTTTTAGTTAATTTTTAATAATATATGGAATAAAATTTTTTAATCATATTTTAGGTTAAAGGAGTTGGTAGATTTCAAAGGTCAAGAAGAAATTTTTTCATCACATAACTTTAAATGAAAGGCTAGTATATTATAAGATTAACATCTTGAAATTTTCAAAAGAGAATGCGTATATAGAACATTATATTAATTTACTATAAACTAAAATAAATAAATCTTAATATAAGTAGCAGAATTTCGAATTGCATCACTTCTTTTAAAAAATTAATTTCATCTTGTAAACCTCAAGATTTTACGTATGATGATGAAAATTGTCAACAAATCAATCATGTTTCAGCTGCATTATTCTGAGATATTATCCATTAAAGTGAATCCAATTATAATTTATAGCAAGAAATTACACGATGCGTTATATACGGTACATATCATAATTAATTTTGTGGAATATAATATAAAGTCATATCACTTTTAATATCTAATTGGTAGTGTGTGGAAAAGCAATGGTACCAAACCGTTTGCATGCGCAGAAAGTGAAAAGGGGAAGGAAAAAAAAACTACTATTTGAGAAAAAGAAAAGATTATTCGTATTATACGAGAGATAAAAGATAATTTTATTTCATATTTGATTGAGATAAATATATATAATAACTTATCTTTATTTCGAGATCAATTATTATAAAATTATATTAATATTTTTCTATCTTCATTAGAATAAACATAATAATTAAAAAATAACAAATTCTGACATAATTTATTCACCAAAAGAGTCATTAGGCGGGGACCTGTGAACTGTGTAGCATGTGAATTTTTATCAGCTGTCTTGCACTCCTCCCTAGCTTTATATGATATTTTATTTTATTTTATTTTTCATAATATATATGATATTTAATTTGATTTAATTTTATTTTCATAATATATATGATATTTAATTTGATTTTTGTTGATAAGTATAATTTTAAATTTTAGATTTATATGAATATATTTAAAATTAATCAAATAGATGCACATATTTTATGTAGCATGATACACATAGGACGACACATAAAATATAGAATTGTCAGTTGAGATATTTGTCTATTTGTTCAATTCTATACTAATTTAAATGTATATATCTATCTATAACATATTTATATATTATGTCAAAACATAATAATAACAATGGCGTTTAGGATCATTTTTGCTCACCTTAATTAATTGTCTAGGTATTTGTACAAGTAAGGGTGTACAAAATCGAACTGAAAATCGAACCAAATCGGAAAAAAAAATTCGACTAGTGGTTTGGTTTGCCTTGGTTTGATGTTGGGGAAAAAAACTCAACTATATTTGGGTTGGTTTGATTTCAACTTAAAAAAAACAACACGAGACCAAACTAACCCGACATTATATATACCTATTTTGATATAATTTTTAAATATCTCTTATACTTTTTCATAGTTTTTATCTTTTAATATATTTATTTCATGTTTGGAAGTTAGAATCTTAATGATCTAATAAAGATTATAGTTCATAATACTGTTGATAATTCTAATAAAGTTTAAATAAAAATTAAATTAATATTAATACAAAAAGAAAATCAATTCAACACTAAGAATGACAATAATATTGAATATTTATTTTTTAGTTTTACATAGATTTTGACAATTAAAATACATGATCTAATTTTACTTTCTTTTAATGTTTAGTCATGTAATTAATACTTGCTAAACTTATTTTAGCATGATTTAGCACTTTAAATTATGATCAATTTCATTATGACTTATTACTTTGCAATATTTTTTACGCGATTTTATATTTTTTTTGTTGGATATTTTAGTGTCATTGATCATATCATATTTTTTGTTATTTTCTTGAGAAATAACTTAGATAGTTGCATTTTGGTATGACTAAGAAAATATTTGATGTACAAGTAAATTATATGTTTGTATGAATACTATACAGAAAAAATTTAAAAATCCAAAAAAACCCGAAAAAATCGAAAGTTGAAAACCCCGTGTTTTATTGATTTAATTTGGTTTATAAATTCAAAAATTTAACACAAATAGTTTAATTTGATATTTGAAAAATTCGAACTAACCCGATCACGTGTCAAATCAAAATTGAGAATTGTTACACCATACATTAGCCCCTAAAAAATATTTTTATGTTTTGTTATTACACCATGTATAATATGTATATAATTCATAATTATACATTTGCATTTGTTATAAATTATTTATATGCATTAACACAGCACTACAAAAGATTACAATTAAGTGAGGTAAAAAAAAGAGAAAAATAT